TGTGTGTGTGTGTGTGTGTGTGTGTGTGTGTGTGTGTATGTTAGTTTTTCTATTAAAAATCTGATGCTGCAAAAAAAAATCCAAATGTATGTTAATGCTAATTATTGACATGCATAGGTTTTAGTACATGGCCAACTTTTTTATTTTATTTTGTTATTATCAGGACTGATGTTGGTAAAAACATCTATGTCAGAGAAAGCAGACAAAATATTTAATATATAATTATATAAATATTAATATATATAATGTTGTTTTTTTCTATGGAACACAAACGGAGAAAACCTGAGGAATCTTCATGCAGCTCTTTTCCACACAATGTACATAATTCATAATGACCTCATCTGTCTCCAAAAAGGACAAATAAATAAATAATTGACTGAAAATATTCAGTCATTTACACTTCCCCTGTCAAGTCAATACATTGGTTAAAACACTAACAACTAATTCAATAAACATGACATTATATTAAAATGTGATATATGAGGCTGACTGAATCATCCTTTTTAGATGGACTAATTTTCTACGTGATGGAACTTTCTAGGTGGACAATCTATACATTTAAGCAGCATTACAAATGTTCAACATGGCTTTCTGGCTACTATCCACTAGTACTATCACAGGAAACTACAGGTGATAAGCCAACGACCACCATTTCCACTTGCACCAGGACTTTTTTCTTTCTGCTGACCCCAGATTCACCTTAACAGAGCTGCTCCTTCCCATCACAGACAGCCATAAGCCTGTCAGATATCAGTCCATCAAGAAATGAGACAGAGGGGGAGAGAGAAAGACAGCCAGCATGAAATATGAAGGGAGGAGAGCGAAAATCCAAGGGTGGGGGGGATGATAAATCAAAAGATGAGGTCTACATCGTCTAATGACCAGAATAAACCTCTTTCCTGTTCAGTGGCAGAGCTCAGCGACTCTGCAGTCCTTAAGCCGTGTCCCTCCTGATCCAGACATCCACTGCCATCAAACCAGGATTTATGACGCATCACAACCCCATGACAACATCCAGCAGCTTCATAATCTCATATTTTTTCTGCCCGTGCCTGACATTTCCAGCCTCGACATTCACTCAAGATAAGCCAAAAGCCCTCTTGACAGGATCGAGAGCACATATAAAACACACGCTTAAGAATTTTACTGCCCCCTTCGCTGGAACTCATCAGTTCATGAGACACACTGAGACACACGAATACAACCGCCACAACATTTCATATCAGACGACTCAACAACCCATAGAACATCTGTTATAGAAAACACCAGTCCTGAACCACTATAGACCCTCATGGGGCCACGTTCACACCAATATCCCAATGAGCGGTCAACCTGTATGGGTTTTTCAATGGCGAATTCTTGGGAGAGCTTCTGGTGTGGAACCAAGTTTGCTTGACGTCAACAAGTTTGAATTGTTATTGAACTCAGATGCGCATTTGGCAAGTCTGCTTGAAAACAGTGGTCTGGTTTGACAGACTTTGTGCAGGGAACAACTGTACTCATTATTGCTTAA